AGAGAGAGGAAGAGAGAGAGAGAGAGAGAGAGAGAGAGAGGAAAAGTGAGAAATCACATCCTTGAGGGGATGATCAGGCCACAATTCCCCTCCTCCATTCTCCTTTCAGGATTTTGGGCATACATGCACATGTGCCCAGTGTATTTTTTTTCTTTCTTTTTTTTTAGTCCCCTCCCCTCCATAGGACAAGTGTGCTCAGCAGAGAGAGACAGAGAGAAAGATAGCAAGAGGGAAAGTAAGAAGTCATCCCCAAGGGGGAATGGCTGTGCCTTCTCCTCCATTCTCCTCCTGAGAATTCTGGGTATGCATGCACATGTGCCTGGCTTGAATTCCAAGCTGCCACATCTGGGACTCAAACCATGGTCGAACATGTGGAAGTCTAGTGCCTTAACCACCATGCCACCTGCTGGACTCCCAGAGTGTTTTTCTAGCCATCAGACCCAGGATTCAAACTGTGCTGTTAGCCACCATATTACCTGGCTAGCCCCTCAAGATAAGATAGTATTTTGTTAGGGTGTCACCTGGTCTTGATCTTCCTGCCCCTGACTAGTAGGTTAGGCTCACAGGAGCTCAAAACCACACCTGGAGTATTCAGACTGGCCTGAGAACTGAACGTGGGCCCACTATGTGGCCTCCAGCTTCCCAAGTACTGCCGTTAGCTGTGTGCCACCATGGCTGGGCTGCTCCTTTTTAACACTCCTATAGAATCTGTAGACTACAGTACTTCATCCAGCCCTTGATTCACTACTATTATATTACACAACATGGAAGGCTGATTGCCCCAACCAGAATGTGAGGCCCTTGTTATGCCCTGTACAAAATCTGAGCTTGCCCTGCTCATGAGCTCCGTGAGAGGCCCTACCATGTACAGCTCCCATTATCTTTTTAGAGGCCCTCCAGGTGATGACCTGGTCTAAGGGCCAACTCTAGAGAAGTACTGTTGTACTGTGATTTGACAGATATGTCACAGATTAGGAAAAGGTAAGGAATAATGCTTCAGGGAGTTGTCGCTTACCTGGGGAACAGTTACTACAGATCTCTGAGAAGAGCAGCAGATTCATAGCTTCGCTTACTTCTAACTGCTCCTTTCTGAGTATCTTCACTCCATACCCACTGTAATTCCTTAAGAAGGTATAGCTTTAATATAAAGCCATGTCAATCAACTGCTTTTAAAATTCGTGGGGGCACTGGGGTACTGGACAGTACTAAGCTGTGAAATGTGGGAAGACCAGAAAAGGCAGAGGGGCAGCAGGGAGGAGTAAGGAAAGCAGAGATGCTTCCCACGGGCATGACTGACGGTCACTCAGGTCACATGGTTGACACTGCTAAAGGGGAGGGTCCAGGTGGCATATACTGTCCTCTGCATTGGCCCAGGCATGCCAGCCTTGGCAATCACTCATTTTCTGGATGCCAAAGAGGGCAGAAGGAACATCCGTGGGTTGGAGGGATAGCAAAGAATTTTATGCAGAGTTCGTTGGTCTGTCTTCCTCTCTCTCCGAAAAATAAAAAAAAAGTATGATTCCATTTTTCCTCCCCAGAAAAGTTAGGAAAAGGAACTTAGTACTTGAGAACTGTTGGCATTTTGGTTCTAATGCATGCTTTTATTTTTAATGGAAACAGTCAACAAGTCCATGCTCCAGGAACAATGAATCACCGCACTGGAGGGGGGAATGGTGGCACAAGTGCCCCTCCATCCTGGACTGCTCTGGGTCCCTGTTGCAGTCCTGCAGTTGGTTGTGTGCTGGGATGAGGGCAGCTTTGCACATGTGGTGCAGAGACCTAACAGCTTGTCATGTGTAACAGGAAGAACGGCAAGTCTCTGGGATCCGTGAAATCAGGCTAGAAGTTTGATGTCATGCTTTTTTTTTTTTTTTGAGAGGTTTTCGCTATAGGGCACGTGCGCTCACCAGACAGACAGAGAGAGACATAGAGACAGAAAGCGAGAAATCACCCCCCAGGGGGGATGGTCACGCCACAATCCCTTCTCCTCCATTCTCCTCTCGGGATCTTGGGCACGCACGCACACGCGCCCGGCGTGAGTTTTAAGCCACCGGGTCCGGGACGCGAACCGCAGTCGACTACATGGGAGTCCAGCAACATAGCCATTACGCTAACTGCTGGTTCCCATGTCATGCTTTTTGATAGGCATTCAATAAGCATTGGTAAAATGAGATAATCTAGCAAATGAATGTGTACTTAGAATTAAATATGTAAGGATACTTTTGCATTACCTGTCATGTCTCAGCAAAGGTGTAGGCAGCACGCTGGTCAGAAGCCATCCAAATTCAGCCAGAGTGTGCAGCAGAGGGCCATAGTCCGTTTTGATTTCACAGCCCTGAATAAATAAGCACAAGAGCTTGTAGTCCAAAGGCAGAGATGGGGTCAGCCCACGGCCTGGTGGTTAAGGCAGCTGGGTTCCACATGGTCACTTATACAGTTTAAGCCCTAGACTCAACAGCTTGAAAACCTCTGAGTGTGGGGACCAGCAGTTAGCATAATGGCTACGTCGCTGGACTCCAATGTAGTTGGCCGTGGTTTACGTCCCAGACCCGGTGGCTTGAAACTCATGCTGGGCACGTGTGCCTAAGATCCCGAGAGAATGGAGGAGAAGGGATTGCAGCGTGGCCATCCCCCCTGGGGGGAGATTTCTCGCTTTCTGTCTCTCTGTCTCTCTCTGTCTTTCTGGCGAGCGCACGCGCCCTATAACAAAAACCTCTCCCCCCCCCAAAAAAAATCCTCTGGGTGTGTATGTGTGTGTACGTCCCCCAAAACTGGAAAACAAGGAGAAATGGAGAAGGGATTACAGTGTGACCATGCTCCATGGGAGAGTGCTTTTCTGCCCCCCCCTCCCCCCGTCATGAGTTTCTCTCTCAAGTACAGCTTCACTGGGATGCAGTTTTCCAGGGCTTCATTCTCTGCTATGCTGCTCTCTAACCACCGAACCAAGTTAGAAAAGCTGGGACTGGGGACCAGCAGATGGTGTAATGGTTACATCACTGGACTCCCACATAGTAAATCACAGTTCACGTTCCAGACCTGGCGGCTTAAACTCAAGCTGGGTGCATGTGAGTGCATGCCCAAAATCCCGAGAGGAGAATGGAGGAGAAGGGACAGTGGCGTGGCCATCCCTCCCTGGGAGGGGGATGTGATGTCTTGCTTTCTGTCTCTCTGTCTCTCCAGTTAGCACACATACCCTACAGTAAAAATCTCTCTCTAAAGAAGAAAAGAGAGAGAGAGAAGAGAGAGAGAGAAGAGAGAGAAACACTAGCTGGGACTGGAGAGAGATTTCCATTCTGTTTTCCAAAGTTTGGGCCTTCCATTGGTCTTGCAAGGGCAGTGGTTCTCAAACTGTGATGCCTAGGGACACTGGCACCTGCATTTTCAAAAGGTTCCCTATGGGTTTTAGGTCCAGGCAGTTTCCAGAGCATACTTTCAGAAATGCTGGTTGAATGGCCAGTGAAGATGAGAGGACCTTGAATGTGGGAAGTCTTTTCACTGCTTTTTCTCATTCAGAATGGATTCTTTATTGTCTTTTATTTGTTTGTTTTTGCTATAGGGCACATGCACTTGCTAAAGAGAGAGAGTAAGAGACAGACAGAGGGAAAGTGAGAAATCACTCTCTGGGGGGGGGACAGCCATACCATAATCCCTGCTGTGCTACAGTGACTGGGCCTGATGGTTCCCTGGAGCTTTCTCTTCCTCCAAATCTTTCTCCTTTCAGGATTTTGAGTACACGTAACTACACACCTGATGTGATCTTCAAGTTGCCAGGTCCAGGACTTGAACCATGGTTGACCATGTGAGAATCCAGAGCCTTAACCACCATGCCACCTTTTGGGCCCATCTTTTTAAGGAGAGAGAACAGATGCAAACCCAAGCAAGACAGAAAGAGAGAGAGAAAGAAAGAGAAGGAGGTGGTCAGCAGGTGACTTGGTGGTTAAGGTGCTAGACTCCCATATGGCTGGTGGCAGTTCAAGTCCCAGACTTGGGGGCTTGAAAATCATGATGGGTGTATGTGTGTGCGTGCCCAAAATCCCAAGAGGAGAATGGAGGAGAAGGGATTGTGGCGTTGCCATCCTCATTGGGGGTCATTTCTCACTTTTCGCCTTTCTGTCTCTTTCTCAGGCAAGCGGATGTGCCCTATGACAAAAAAAAAAAAAAAAAAAAAAAAAAAAAAAAAAAAAAAAAAAAAAAAAAAAAAAAAAATCTCTGTCTGTCTGGCGAGCTCATGTGCCCTAGAGGAAAAAAAAAAAACAAAAACCCAAAACAACAACAACATCCTCCACAGGGTTTTGTCACATTGTAATTTTTCCTCAGCCCTCCAGCTCCTCAGGATTCTTAATGCCTGTACACATGCCTGGGGGAGGGGAGTTTTCAAATCAACCCAGGGATTCAACAGCAAAGCCTGCTGTTGGCCATGTGGCTTCCAGCTTTGCAGGTCACTTGCATTACTGCTGTGCTACAGTGGCTGGGCCTGATGGTTTCCTGGAGCTTTCTCTTCCTCCAAATCTTTCTTTCTCCTCTGAATGAGCTTCCCAGGTGCTTTTCGACAGGTGGGCTATGTCTCTCTACCCTTGATAAAGCCAACAAGGCAAAGGTTCTCCTGGAAGAGCTGTCAGCGAGGGCTGTGTACACACGATGGTGTACCTGAGTTCAGTCTGCACACCTCAAGGGCAGCCGTGTGCTCTGAATTCAGAGCACACACCATCAGCAGCAATGTCAACTCTGATTATGAGGGACAATGCTGTGTGCATGGATATAGCTCAGCAAGAGAGAGAACACGTTTGGATTTTTTTTTTTTTTGAGAGAGATATTTTTGCTATAGGCATGTGTGTTTGCTAGAGAGACACAGAGAGACAGAAAGGGAGAAATCACCCCCTGGGAGGGGGGATGGCCATGCCACAGTCCCTTCTCCATTCTCCTCCTGGGATCTTGCGCATGCACACACGTGCCCAGCATGCGTTTCAAGCTGCTGGGCCCGGGACTCAAACCACACCTGGCCATGTGGGAGTCCAGCGACGTGACCATTACCCCATCTGCTGGTCCCACCTTTTAGATATTTTTGCCTTTGAAAGTCAATTCCTGGGCCTGGCAGGTGGCTTGGTGGTTAAAGGTGCTGGACTCCCACAAGGGTGACTGTAGTTCGAGTCCTGGATCTTGGTGACTTGCTTTCTCACTTCCCCTCTCTCTCTTTCTCTCTCACTCTGGTCAAATTAAAATAAATAAATAAACTTAAATAAAATAACTCTTTTTTTTTTTTTTAAGAAAGTCAGTTCCTAAGTCAGTTCCATCAATTGCTTAGAGAGAAAACTGGTTGAGTGACCGAATTGCTTTTCATTTTTAATCGCTTATCATGACATTTCGTAAAGAGAATCTCAGTGCTTGGTGACTTGGTTTGGGGCACCTATTGTGATTTATGTGTAAGTAATTATTTTGCTTCTTATAAAAAACTTAATATGGGTGAAACAAATGACCTTTTTATAAATCTGAAGGGAGTTCATGCATTTGTGATGTGATTCCAAAGACTGAACAAACACAAGTTTGAGGACACTGCATATGTCTGGCAGTGAAGATCTTCACTATGTAAAACCGAATGTAAAAGTAAAGTTAAATTGTCAGAAAACTGTTGCTCACCTCAATAATGGTCCATTGTTCTACTACGATGGCATCATTTCCCTTCCTAGTAGAACCTGGAACTCCAGAACCTTCTTCTTCATAAATAAAAAATCCTTCCAAAGATTTAGGCAAATGGTCCCCTGTGAGGAAAAGGATGCAATTAAGAAGAGTTGTAAATACAAAGCATCTCCGAAGATCATCTAAATCCTTACAACCCTCATAGGAAGCTGAAAGAAAAACATACCAATTAAAAAACATTTGTTTTGGCTAAATCAATAACATCCTTCTCCTTTCTGAAGGTTTTTTTTCCACCTAAAGGTCAAGATAGTTTTATACTTCACTGGATTAAAATCAAACCGGACACATGAGAACTGCAGTGGCAAAAAGCAACACAACAAACAAACAAACCAAACCAAAAAAAAAAAAAAAGATAAAATGATGTGATATAGTGATAAGTGAGTGGAAAAATCAATCTAAAAAGCATCTGCAAATGATCTTTATCTTGAAATCAAATTTTGGTTTCTTCTCTATATGTCATATGCACACCAATTATACCAGTAAGAGAAATACCACCAAAAATGTTAATCATTGAAATGAGAACTATGGTATTAAAATTAATGTGAGGTGGGGCTGGGAGGTGGCATGGGGGTTAAGGCACTGGACTCCCACATGACCAACAGCAGTTTGAATCCCAGACCTGGTAGCTTGCTTTCTCATTTTCTCTTTCTCACTCTGCCTCCCTCTGGTCAAATGAAATAACAATAATAATAATAATGAATGTCATTAAATAAATAATTCTTTTTTTTTTTCTGCTATAGGGCGCGTGCACTCGCCAGACAGACAGAGAAAGACATAGAGACAGAAAGCAAGAAATCACCCCCCGGGGGGATGGTCATGCCGCAATCCTTTCTCCTCCATTCTCCTCTCGGGATCCTGGGCACGCACTCACACGTGCCCGGCGTGAGTCTTAAGCCACCGGGTCCGGGATGCAAACCATGGTCGACTACATGGGAGTCCAGCGACATAGCCATTACACTAACTGCTGGTTCCCAATAAATGATTCTTTAAAAAATTAATGTGAAGTAACATTACTTCAAAAAATATAAACACAGAACAATTTTTTTACTGAACCGATGCATCAAACCCAAACCAAACAAACAAACAAAAGTAACAGGAAGACTCTAAACAGAAGTCATTTTCAAAAGAATTCCTGCT